TAGTACCTTTTTTTGACCACCTGATGGCAGTATAAGACTGTTTGAGCTAAAGGATGGATAGTTGAGCAGTGTGTCTCTTTAAGAAAACTGGGAGGGAGGAACCTTGATGTGACATGGGGCTGACATGGTGACATGGCGTACGCTCGATGTGGTTTGAGCTCTTTAGCATAGCATTTTTCACACAAATCCATCCATTATCTTTTACCCGCTTCTTCCATTTTGGGTCACGGGGATCGCTGGTGCCCATGTCCAGCAGTCACTGTGCGAAAGGCGGGGTACACCCTGGACAGGTCTCCAGTCCATTACAGGGACACAGAGAGACAAACAACCATTCACCCTCTCACTTACACCTAGGGACAGTTTAGTTACCAATCAGTCTAACATGCATGTTTTTGGTAGGGATGCACCGATCCACTTTTTTTATATACTACTGATCCGATCCTGATACCTAAATCTAAATATCTTCCGATACCGATCCAGTTCCGATATCATGATCATTATTGATTTTATATGAGGCTGTAATAATCTCCTCTCAAGTACAATTTGTACAAATATATGCATGCATGTCCAAAAAGGCAACTTGAGGTCAGTTTTATTAATGTTGGATAAGTTTTAAAGTTAGACTTAAATTCTAACACAAAACATGTTTCTTTTTATTCCTAGCTTTAAAGTGGATATTAAAGTGATTAATTTAAGTGATTGTTTAAAGTTATTTATTTTTTTTTTTAAAAAAGGGGCAGATATAAGAATTTTTTTCTTTTTTCTGAACTCTTTTCATTCAATTTTTTCTGTTTGATGAATTTGTTTTGTTTATTTTGTTTCTTTTAAATGAACGAATAAATTAATTAAATAAGATAAAATGTTCAATGGCTTTAAACATCTGCTAAGTTCATGGCATAAACCAACAGACATGTTCCTGTTTTTAGTATTTTACATCACTTTATAATGTAGCTGTTTTTGTTTAGTTTTTTATATATATGATTTTCTTGTATTTTTTCAATTCATATGTTTTTTATTACTGTCTACTTTTGTACTGATAAATATCTCCTGCAGGGTAAACTATATCTTGGCTGCAAGTATCAAATTGTGAAATCCTTCATTTTCTACAACTGATAGCAGTTGGTCATTAATTATGAAGTTTAGCAACTTCTCTGTAAACATTTGAGCTCCGGGGCTTCAGCGAGGTTTTCTTCTTGTTCAATCCGAAGCAGGCAGCCTGATTTGGGGCAGCCGCTCTCCGTCTGTCCCTCCTCAGAGACGGGCAGATTGAGTGGGGCAGATTGGACGCGGCTGGCCGGGGTCGAGTCGCATCTTTCGGATTCAGCGAGAGCAGCGCCCCGCTGAAGCCACAGAGCTCGAATGTCCATCGTAAAACTAACTTTACCGTGGTTTAATGTGGTGCTATGGCTCTGCAGACATTGCATGTTGCCGTCTTGTTTTGTGGTGTTTCTAGTGTAAAATACTTCCACACAGCGGACATGTTTAGATGAAAAGTTGGTTAGCTGTTAGCAACAGTGCTGCTAACTCAGTCCTCACGTTGTAGCTGCTGCAAACTATCAACTGGATTTCCTGAATGTGAGGCGGGTCTTATTACTCTGGGTTCATGAGACACGCCGCTGTTCAGGAAATCCATTACATAGTTTGAAGCCAACATGCATCATGAAACGGAAATCTCTGCAGGTTGGATCAGAAAAATCCGATACGTAAGTTATGCTGGTATCAGAGGCCGATACCGATACTGGATCGGATCGGCCCCATCCCTTGTTTTTGTTCTGTGGGAGGAAACCGGAGTACCCGAAGAAAACCCACGCATGCACGGAGAGAACATGCAAACTCCACCCAGAAAGGCCCCCGGACCGGGATTTGAACCGGCAACCTTCTCGCTGAGAGGCAGCAGCTCTACCAGTTGCGCCACCGTGCTGCCCATTTTCACACAAATCTTTTAATAAAAAATAAACAAGTTCTCAGCTTCTTTTTGCAGACGAAAAACAACTTTACACAAAGGCACGGGTTTCAACCGTGAATTTTTCGAGCTCAACAAGACGGAGGTTTTTTCCCGAGGTTGGCCTGTTAGCTTAGCTTATAGCTTAGTTTATAGCTTAGTTGCTGTTAACGATCCAAAAACACGATTTTGGACGATTAAAACTGATTTTAAAGAGAAAGGGAGGGGTCAGTGAAGAGCACCGGAGTTGAGCCTTTTGTCATCGAGTGTCTTCAATAGATAGAGAGAGACATGAAATGATAAAGCCGGTAAATGAAAATGAGGTCGATAATTTTATTCACCATGCGATTAATTGATTTATTGTTTATCGCAACAGGCCTAGCGAATCCGCAAAAACGAATTGGGAAGTAGTGAGGGATAGTAATTTTTTAAAATAACACTATTTATTTATTTATTTAATTTTGAATGAAATGGCTCTCCATAGATCATTAACATCAGGTCAGATGAATCATTTTGCTGCTAAAGTAGATTTATTTATTTTATTATATCAAATAGTAATCAAATGAGGTATGGGGAGCCAGGGTCACTTTTAAGGGCCTGTATAACCAAAACTGCTGCTGTGTCCACATTCTGACCTGGGAACACCCGGGGATTCTCCAGGATGCGTTACATGGGGGAGTTGGATGTCTGAGTTTCTGTTGCCTCTGCAATCTGACCACAGATAAGCTGAAGAGAAAGATTAATGGACATTAGTGTTTCATAGAATAGGTGTAAAGTCAAATGAAACCATTTAGAAGGAAACTTGTCCACAAAAAGGTTTGAGTTATTCACTGATGGAAGAGAAACGGTAGACTTTCAGTTCAGCATGCAGGACCCCAGGAATGTGAAAGACACACATGCTGAGGCGTGTTTGAAAGTGTTTGTGTTCGAAGAGATTTGTTCACACCTCAGGTGTGGATAAAGTGACTGCAGACACTGACTGTGCAACTCGAGCAGACCTGCTCCTGTTCCACTGATCTTTTAGATTTATGTGTGGGTGAATGCGTCTCTTATCTCTGTGAGGATGCTTGTAAGGTTAAGATCTTGGAAAGTAAGCTCTTTCCAGGGTCTCACTTCAGAGAGCTTTTGTAGGATTCAGATTTTTATCTGTGCTCAGTTTAAAACTGCAATTAAAGTTTGGTGTGCAGCTGTGATCTTTACACTTGGAAGGATACATTATGTTAATTAGAGCCCCCACACATTTGGTAGCACACAAATGTATGTGTTTGAGCTGAAGGGACACTGAACCCTGCACTGAAGCTGCTGCAGCAGGATGTAATATTTATAGGTTGGTCAGGTGTTTGAGTTACCTGCCACAGGACACGACTCCAGGACTTAATGGAGCAGAGCCTCCAGTTTGAGGCTGACACATGTACCCAGTTGAGTAACAATAGGAGGCATCCCTAAAGTGATAAAGAGCACAGACACGTTCAGATGTTTAATGTCACAATCCTGGAACAGAAGAAAACGGGGGTGTAAATTGTTTACATGAAAGATGTGAAAGGATTAATCCTTAAAACAGAACTAAATTGTATTATTTATTAAGCTTTGTTTAACCAAGCAAATCCCGTTGAAATCTGAAATCTCTTTTGCAAGGGGGACCTGGGCCTGAAGGCAGCCTAACATGCATGTTGTGGTCTGTGGAAGGAAACAGGAGGACCCGGAGAAAACCCACACAAACACAAGAAGATGTAAACTCCACACAGAAAGAGTCCGGGTCCAAACCAGGGCTTGAACCCTGGACTAGATATTTAAAAACCGATTTAGCAAATTATTTTTTCATCACTAAACTTACAAGTAGGGACGCACGATATTATCGGCATGGTATCAGTGTCGACCGATATTAGCTTTAAAGTTAAATATCGGACATTACATCTAAATAACTCACGGATATAAAAGGCACTGGTTGTATGACAACCCAGTGACAAGGATGCCTGCAGCACCAGCACAATGTGATGACGTCACGCACGCCTTCCTCATCTGATCACGGTGGAGAGGAAAAATCAAAATGTCGGCGGTGTGGAAATTTTTTTTTTCATTGAGGATGTCAGTTTCCTAAGATTCTTGAACTATGTTGAGCCTCGCTACATCGTCCCCAGTCAGAGATAATTTTCTGACGTAACCTTAATCAAGTTACAAGCCGTCATTTCCAAGTTTCCAAAAGACACAAACTGCACGACAAAACAATCTGATTATTAGCTGAACCACCACTTCATGCATGCAGCTGGCACATGGAAGATGTTATAAGGATTGCGATAACAACTTATTGCTACCAATGTTTTTTATAGTAATTAAATAAAGGCCTAGTGTTTGCTTATTGAACGTATATCGCCCACCACCTTTCATTCCAGAGTTTTAATCTAAGACCGTCTTTTGTGGAGAAATGATGGAGTTGTAGCAGTTTGTGCCAAACCGGCATGAACGTATCCAAAGAATCCAAAGGTTGTTTAGATGTAAATGTACGTTCACTGCTAGCTTTCTGAAAGTGCTAATAACATCCATCTCTTGGAGTGTGCGTCGTGACTGACTCTCAGCTGCCACTACACCAACTTGTAGCACAATATCTGTACAATTTGCTGAGTTATAGCTGCTTATGTGTTTTATAAGTTGAGTTGGCTGTGGTGGCCATCTTGAGTTGGATTAGCTCCAAAAGTTAATCAGATATCCATTCAGGGATTATTTCCTGAAAGTTCAATTAAAATTTCTCCTGTGGCTTTGGAGATATTTTGCTAACAGGCAATCAGAGTAGAATCCAATTAGTTCATGCTAAAGTTTTAAACACCGATCTCTCAAGATCAGTTAGTGCTCCAAATATAGAACGGGGATCAGTTTCAGCTGCTACCATATCAAAGTTTATCTCAGTAGTTGCAATATTAACTACCGTAAGTTATATTTGTTTTGTGTTTGATCAGTTTCTTTGCTGTGACGGCCATTCTGAACGAGCTCTTAAGGAAATGTTCTGTGTGCTTGCGTGTGTGGCTTTCAGGGACGAGTGGAGGTGGAAGCCGGAAATGAGAACATGAAGTTTGAAACTGGTCCGTTCTCTTACTACGGAGTCATGGCTCTGAGTACATCGTCACTGGGTGAGACACACACACATACGCTCAGACACACACGTGGAAGCTTCTTTGAGAGGACATTGATGAATGCCACTGACACCTGTTAGGGTTAAAGGTCACATGCAGAAAAAAACATTGTTCCTGTGCAGTTTTTTCTCCTTTAGTGCCATATAGTTAAGGCATTAAGTGCCTTAGAGTGATCTTGGAAGTCACATGAAGGAGTCGACCTTAGAGAAGGCTGTCACAGACCGGTGGAATGTGCATAAATCTGTCTGTTTGGCTTTGCCATCGAGAGAACCGGTAACAGCAGAACTGAAGGCAGACAGAAATCAGAGTCTGCCTGCACAAAACACTTGTTGTTTATCTGAATCTGGCCTCCCCGCTTGTCCTTAGATAGACCAACTTATCTCAAATTGATCCTGGTGGATATGTAAATCAAGAAGCTTTGCTCTGTCCACCCCTGCACCCCCCCGCGCCCTCGAGAACTTCTGTGAATGCTTATCAGCGTTGCACCGACTGATAGACACTGTAAGATCTTATCAGGACTATGGAAACTATCTGGAAGTGTTCATGGACAAATCTCACCGTCTTGTCGTCCATGCATATGTATTGTGTCTTATCTACGCTGCTTGATGTGGTCGATTTTTTTGCTACCTTAAACCGTGCCCTGTAAGAACAGGGTGTGAGAGATCTTTTTTTTTTAATACCTCTCTCGCCTCATGTTTTCTTCCCCTTTTCAATGTAAGCAATAAGGGCAGCGCTTCTTAGAAGCTGCACCCCTGTACACTTCTGTCCATCTTTAGGGCGGCTGTACCAAATGTAATTTTGTTATACTCCACTGTGCAATGACAATAAAGCTTATTCTGATTCTGATTAATCCATCCATCCATTATCTTTTAACCACTTCTTCCTTTTCTGGTCGTGGGGGTCACTGGTGCCCACGTCCAGCTATCACTGTGCGAGAGGCGGAGTACACCCTGGACAGGTCTCCAGTCCATTTCAGAGACACATAGAGACAAACAACCATTCAATAGCTATGTTTACATGCACAAAATCCTTTGACCGGATTGAAATGTTTTCAAATTCAATAATTCAAATGTATCGTTTACATGGGCACACTTCGTTCATGATGAGCGTTTACACGCAGCAGGCTTTGTTCTGAACAGCAGTACTGACGTGTGCAGAGTAGGGGTTGAACGAGTATATAATTTTTAAACTCGACATTAACATAATAAAACCCGAGTAGAACTCGAGTATTTGATGACATCATAGATCTCAAGATACAAAAATAAATAAATAAATAAAACCGCTAAAAAAGGTAATTATTTACAACAAAAAAAAGACCAACAAAACATTGGGAGCGTATATTATGCTCCTACCATTTATCATACTGCAAATAAGTCACAGGAAAAACTAAACTATTAGTTATTATTATTAAACTGCAAACGTGAAGAAACATGCAGCACGTCAAAAACGAAACTTAAACCGAAACTGGTTCTGGTTCGGTGCATTGGACCCGGTGTTACACCATACTCTGTGACCTGCAACATTGCAACACCGCCCCCTACGGTCATACGGTGGTCACATAATATGACGTCACTACGGATACTCGACGTTACATTTTTAACCTCGATAGATGTCCTAGCAATCGATGTGTCGATTACTCGAGTACTCTGTTAATGCCCTAGTGCAGAGTGGTAAACTCTCCTTAAAAAAAGCACAGAAGAAGTTCTACTTCCGGTTTACTTCCAGGATAACGTAAACAAACCTGAGCACCCAAAATGGACCCGCGACAGCTTTTAATGACGGTGGAGATGTTCCTGCACTCCCTGACTGAGCTACAGGTAATACAGATCATTTTGAGCTCTTTCAAAGTTTCTAGTAGAAATGTTGTCGCTCACCGACCAGTTTTACTTCCCCGACATGCTAATATTATTAGCATTAGCCAGACGGAAATGACATAGTCGCACATGTGCAGTCAGGTGAGTTTTTCACCATCAGAAAAATTGAACAGATCAAACGTTTACATGCGCACTATTTGGGTTATGAATCGGCGTAAACCACCCCTTTTATTTTGATCACAAATTATTTCGGATTGCGCTGAATAAACAAAAAATAACCCGAACGGGGTGTTTACATGACACGTTTTATTCCGAACGGCCGTTTGATCCAATTACTTATGTCCATGTAAACGTAGTGAATGTGGGTAATATATTTATTGTATTATTTTAATGCTGATGTGGAAGGTAAGCAGGAATGTTGAGAAACATTAAAGTGTTAATCAGTCTTATGGGCTGTGGGTGAAAACTGCCTTTGAGCCATTTGTTCTTGTTTCACACTAATGTGCCACTTTTCACACAGCAGGAGTGTGAAGAGATAGTGATGGGATGATTTCCTGATTATGTTAATGAACCATCTGATAGCTCATGTCCTGTGGAGGTGAAATGACTCTCCTGTCAGGTCTTAGCCATTTGATGCAGGCGTTTATGTTCTGTCTCATGATACTGTGATGAAATGGCTCTGTGGTGCATTGACCACAATTACAGATGGATGAGTGAGAAAAGCAGTTTAGCCTCCTACATTAGGAAGAATCTGTGGTGCATTTTTTTGTTGGTTCTCTGAGGCCCAGTTTATGCAACACTGTTGTTAATGGTAATCTGCATGCACACTAGCTGCAATCATTCAGTAGTTTGCATTTTCCTGAATTTTTTAGAATTAAGGAAACGTGTTGCAGCAACCCAACCTCTTCGTTGATCCAAACTAACATTCATGTATCGTCATTTCGGAACTGCTCTTAGGCTGAAAACTAAAGTGTCTGCATGCATGTGCATGTCATTAATATATAAAAATCACAGTGCCTACTAGTGACTTGGCATGGAAAATACAGGTGGTTCAACGTCTTTTGCAGTCTTGTCTAAACAGAGATTGTGATCACAGCATTACTGTGTGAACATGGGATATTTTTACAATCAGCATTGAGAACTCTATAATGTTTCCAGAACATCATTCACGTATAACTCGGCCCTAAGGGGTACAGTTACCATCCATCCATTATCTTTACCCGCTTATTCCATTTTGGGTCACGGGGGTCGCCGGTGCCCATGTCCAGCAATCACTGTGCGAGGGGCGGGGTACACCCTGAACGGGTCACAAGTCCATCACAGGGACACAGAGACAAACGAGACAAACAACCATTCACTCTCTCACTCACACCTAGGGACAATTTAGAGTTACCAATCAGCCTAACATGCATGTTTTTGGTCTGTGGGAGGAAACTGGAGTACCCGGAGAAAACCCACGCATGCACGGAGAGAACATGCAAACTCCACCCAGAAAGGCCCCTGGACCGGGGTTTGAACCAGGGACCTGCTCGCTGAGAGGCTCTACCAGTTGCGCCACCGTGCTGCCCTGGGTACAGTTACATGAAGAAGAAAATCTACCATCTATCACTTCTAGGGTTTTATGTATCAAGAGCTCCATCTCAGACTCTATAGACCTCAGTTAGCAGGTTAAAGTTAAAGTTTGTGACAAAACAATATGCAACTTGTCTGCTGGATTCCTTAGATAGAGAACTTTACTAATTGGCTTTTATGTATGTGAATGTTTCTGTAAAGTGCCCTGAGACAACTTTGTTGTGATTTGGTGCTATATAAATAAACTGAATTGAATTGAATTGAATTGAAAAGACTGAACAAATATGGCTTTTTGGAAAGGTTGTTGGCAAAAGACATTTTTTCGCTAAAACGAAAAAAACCAGTATAATTTAGGTTTGCAAAGCGTCATCTAAACGAAACACAAGACTTTATACATTGATGTCATTTGGACAGATGAGTCTAAAGTAGAGCAGTTTGATCAAAATGCACAGCTCCATTTTTAACAAAGACCAAACACAGAAAATCTTCACAATCACCTCATATAAAATGTCAAGCAAGGTGGTGGAGATGTGATGATTTGGGCTAAAGTTGCATCCAAAGAACCTGGGCATCTTATTGTCATTGAATTAACCATATACTCTTCTGCAGACCAGTGGATTGGAAAGTCAAATTTTACGCCTCCGGTATTAACAGGTGAAGCTTGACTGAAACTGGGTCATGCACACAAGCAAATCTACAACAGCGTAGTTTAAGACCTGTTAAAGAGTAGACCATAATACACCTGACCAAAGGGTCTTCTTTTCTAAGAGTGTCTTTATTTGGGAGGAAAATGAGTCTTGAAACTGTTCACTCTCAGTCACATTCTGGGTGGTTATGTCTGGCTGGAGCATTCTATCACAACGGCAGAATACCCAGAGAATATGGAGTGTGGTAAACAGACTCAAACTCTTAAAGAAATAAAGTGGTTTATTTACAGTGACGATATAGTTACTATTTACAACAGGGAACCTGCGGGGAAGGAGGATGAGTCAGGATGACTGAGGTGAGGGAATGGCAGGTATCGCAGGTTGTTTGTGTCTTACACATAGGTGGGTGAGTTGAAGTGTTTATAGGAGGGCAGAGGATTCCAAGAAGATTCAGTCCAGGGTTGGAGAGTGCAGGAGGTGAGTAGACCTGAGTTGGTGGCAAGTGGTTGGATGGCGGTGGAGCAGCTGAAAGAGAATCACAAGGAGGTTTTCAAGGATCCACAGGTAGGTACAGGAGTTGAGGATTTAGGGTAGATGACAAGAGATCTAGGACAAGAGATTCAGGAGGCAAATTCTAAGAACACAAGGGTAAGTATTTTCTTAGTCAAGGTAAACACAAGAAGGCCAATAGCACAAATACTGATTTGTATGCAATGCTCCAGCAGGGAAGGGAGTTCTTCTGCAGCCTCTTATACTCCTGATGCTCGTTAGTGAGATGAACCACAGCTGTAAGTAAAGCCACTGGCTTGTGGAGAAGAGTCAAAAATCCAGTAGGCATCAGGCTCCTGTGTAGTCCATCCGAATCGGTGAAATCAGCTCTCATTGACGTAGTCCATGTCTGGTCACAACTTCATCAATGTGGAAATGTGCTCAGACATTTAGCTGTATGTCTCTTCAAACATTA